CTCACTACTGTATGTCGGCTCCTCGCAGTCTATTCCTATGCCATTCCTTGCTTTTCTGAGTGCGCATGCACTCGCAGCCTTTTCTGTCCGATTCTTCCGTGCTTTCTCATGATGCTCAAGCAAATATAAACGTCGCTTCCGGCTGAGAACTTTGACACAACATCCACAAATCATGGCTGACTCATGTTTGCGAAATGCCCCTTTCCTCGGCCCACTTAAGCAAAATATCAGCATAAAGACGAAAACCTAGGTACCGGAGGGGGGGGGGTAGCATATATATATATATATATATACATACATACACATATATTTGTAAATCTGTGCGTGTGTGTGTGTGTGTGTTCCAGCGCTTGCCTTGGGCATCTCGCAGGTTGCCATGGTCAATGGCTTGTACGATGCAAGCAAGAAGGGTCTTCTCGCCTATCCGGAGGACTCGCGTGCTGTGTGGCAGCTTCCTACCATATTTGGTTACTGGCATCCAGTCCATCGAATCGCCCCTAAAACTTAAACCCTAAACCCCCAAAGCCCTAAACCCTAAACCCTTGAATCCCTAAAGCCCTAAACCTAAACCCTTAAACCCCTAAACCCAGAGTCCGGGGAAGAAGCTTTGAGCGCAGGATGGCACGAACAGAACCGAGTGGTTGCTCGAGGGTCCGCGGGTTCCCAAGTCCGAGGAAGGCTCGTCTATGCGGAAGATGAGGCAATCACCTCGGTGCCTTAGGTACTCAGCGCAGAGCAAGATCTTGGTGGATCAGCAATTCTGGACTGCGGAGACGGAGAAGGCATGCAATCTCGACCGAACAGAGAGAAGATGGCGCAGCGGACGGCAATCGGCGACACATGTGGAACACTCATCTTCCGCACAGAGCAGATTTCTTGCCACACTTCGCCCACACATACACACACACACACACGCGCGCGTGCACACGCACACGCGCACACACATGCACCCCTCGAAAGAGCTACAGCTGCAATGGAGAGTGACAAGGGGGGGTGCCTCGCAAACTTGACGGACACATCGAGTAGAACAGGTTTGGGGCTCGCGGCCAGTCGCCACTTCTTGGGGTATCTTGTCATGGTGGCTACCCATCATTGTTTACATTTTGATAGCGCACTTGGCCCGGCACTCTTTCAGCTTCGTGTTTGCTTTTCGAAAGGTGGAAAGCTTACAGGTTTGCTACCATCAGGACAACGTTCAAGGCTTGCTCTATTAAGGTAGATTTCCCTAGGCCCTAGGCGAGCGAAAGGTCTAAAGTCTTGCGGTTTACGTCCCGGAAGAGTTTCCATGGTGGCTGACCAGAAAAGCTTACGGGCTTGCTGTCCCTGCCTATCATTTGTTATCACACGTTTGGACAAGACTTGGCTGCCGATGGCTGTTTTTCGGTTTCAGGAAATGAAAAGGTCGAGGGCCCGGTTTTGGCGATCTTTATTGTTGTATGTTATCTGTGGCAAGTTTCAGTACCCAGCCTCAATACGATGAAGAACCGTTTCACTGAGTTTACTGTTTGCTACAATCATTGTCTTTAGCGGTTAATGTCAACCCAGGGCCTTTTCTGAAACCCTGAAAGTCAATACAAGTAGCCAATACAACACCCTAGGCCCCAAGCACTCGGTATGGGAGGCAAATCCCAAACTCCTAGACTTTTCCGGAACCCTCACAACGACGATGGAAAGCCAGCATGAAATCGAAGCTTGGGTGTTGGCAACCCGTCTTAAACTGTTCTGAAACGCAAGATTGTCAACGGTCGCCATGACAACTCCTAACTTAAACCCGAAAAGTCGTCCGGTAGCAAACCCATATACCTTTCCTGAAACCCGAAAACGTGCGATGGTCTGGTCGGCAGTCGCCAGGAGCAATAAACTCTGAGACTGCTCTGGGCAGCTGGCTTTCAGGGTTGCATGCAGGCTTTCCAGAAAAGGTGTTTGGGTTTGCTCCCTCAAGTTTCAGGGTGTCGTGATGGCTGCTGGTCGTGACTCCAAGCTTGCAGACAAGTCTCAAGGTGTGCCGTTCTCGCGGGTTTCGGGCTTAATGTTGTCTGTCCATCGTGACGAGAGTTTGTGCCGAACAAGTTTTGCCGCCTTGGAATTATGGTCGCTGCTTTTCTCAGTTTTTGTGGACTTGGAAGGGGTTTGGTTGCTCTTCGTGACTTTTAGGTTTCGGTGTGTCTCACCATCGTGCGTTTCCGGATTTCGCACGAAGTTTGGGGCTTCATTTCGACCTTCGGAGTCTGTGTATGGTTGCATATTCGGCTAAATGTGTGCTGTGCATCATGACTCGGCAGTTCTGACTTTGACGGCCCTGAGTTACTTGTTCATTTACAGTATCTGCTTGTGTATGTATATATATATATGTATATATGTTTGTTTTTCGTGCGCACACATTCCTGTATACATGCGTTTATGTAATACTGTTGATGATATACATCCTGCACTACCTTAAGGACCCTAAACTATGGGAATTATGGTATATTCTTTATTATGGGAAATGCAGGGTCTATATCATCAATTCCATCACCACTGCGCAGGGTGTAGGGTCAGGGTGTAGTCGTGGCTACATTTTCTACCCAGAGTTTCCATCACAGGAGTTACAATGGAGGCTGAAGCTTTTCCGACCAGGGTTCCTCTCTGATTTCGGACATGTCTGTGCGCAAACCCAGGAAGCCAGTGAGTGAGGGAACCCCGGCCTCCGGCACGACAGAAAAAGAAGCGCCCCAGGCACGACAGCAAACAAAAAAACGACAGCAACAAAAACACTGTTACCTCTGTGGGGGCCGCAAGGCACACAATTACGCCTTCATGTGTATTGCAGTGTTTTCTGTATGCGGCACCAAACTTGTTGTATGTGCCTTCAAAGCTAAAATCAGCATCTGCCTCTGAAGGCTGAATCTTTTGTGTCTGAAGCTCCAATTTCTCTTGAGCTGTTTTCGCCTGTTTCGGTTCAGCCCCTCCAATAATTTGCAGAGGCGCAAGCCGCACATCACGCAAGCAAAGCTACGGCGATTGTGTTGGGACTCTGGATTTTGCTCGTTGGGGGAGGGGGTGTGTGGAGCCCGGCATACGCCCAAACGGCAAACTGCGTTTACGTATCAGCAGGTGTTGAACACATGTGCACTGGTCGTTCTCTTTCGGGCATTGTGCACCTTGAAATACAATCAACAGGTGTAAAGGCTACTGAAGTGTGTGCTGCGAGGCTCTCTGCAAAATCGCCGCTGGCGATGTCTGATGCTTGGAAGGGTCGATGATACTTCTGCCTCGCGATTGCTGTGCAGCCGTGCTCGCTACAAGGCGAACGGCATGAAGGACAACATAGAGTTCCACAACCAGCAGCTGAAAAACAGCGTCAGCATCGTTCGGCAGCCTACGATTCTTTCCTTTGTTGTGTCATTGCCTGCTAGGACATGCCCACTCTCAGGTTCGCATGCAGCTCACAAAGAATCAGCGAGTCATTGTCTCGGCGAAACTCTGCTACATGCACCATAATTTCCTAAGAGCGACAGCTGGTTGCCTATGTTACGAGGTTCTGATGGGAGCGCTGATTGTCTTGGATGTCCGCTCCACAGCCTTATGCAATTCATCTCAGATTTTTTGTAGAATCGAGTTTCAATGCGGTGAGCTGCACACATTTCGGCTTCTCATGAACAACAAAATGGACAAGCTTGCAGCCAGGTCCATGGCATCACGGTGCTCGAGAACCTTATGGAAGCAGGCACAAACAGCTTGAACGTGACGTCCCCAGCAACTGAGGGGTGTCTGTGTTTGCCAGTGCAGAAAACCCTTCCAATTTTCTTTCCTGCAGACTGTTCTTTTCGAGGATTTCGATTGGAGCAAGCAGTTGCGCTACTACTGGGTGCCAGAGTCCGAGGAGGCCGAGTGTCAAATCTGGACTAGACTAGAATAGAAGAGACTCTACTCTACCATACTATACTAGGCCATACTCTACTATTCAGTATGTACATTATAGTATAATATTTTACTGTACTATACACTGTATACTACATACTACATGCTATATACTAAATACTAGGTACTGTTACGATATACTATGTACTATATACATTTAAATTTATACTACGTGTTATATACTTATACTGTTTACTATTCACTATTTGCCATATATATATATATTATATACTGTATACCATATACTATACATTGCTGTATACTACATACTATATATTATATCATCGTTACTATACGATAGGTACTACACACCTAAAACTTAAAATTATATACTATATAACATGTACGGTTGTTGCTTCATACTATATACCATTTACCATAGACGATATATACTATAGATACTGTCTCTCTCTCTGTATATATATATATATATGCTAGGTACACTATGTACTATGTACACTGTATACACTATACACACTATGTACTACATACTGTATACTATAGGCTGGATAATACACTACACTGTACTACGCTGCACTATTCTCTGTTTTGCTGTACTCTACTGCTCTTTGCTGTGCTGAGCTGCACTATACGACATTAGATCATCATTTGGAGATGTCTTGGGAGGTGTCTTGGGAGAGGTTCTGAGATCCTGAGTGGCAGGTGGAAACCTCCCTGATCAACATGGTCTCGGATGACTGCGCTCGGAGCCTCAGAGCAGCCGTGGTGCCCATTTTCATCCTGGTCGTCATAGCCAGACATCATGAGAAGCCAGTCATCAGGACAATTGCAAAGGTTTTTTCTGGGTCCAGGAGATTGCAGCACATGCTGCCATGACCAGCATAGGACATTAAAACCAGTAGAAGCGAAAGCATTGCACAGTACATGGAGTATACAGGCGTGAAGGTCCGTCCATCATAGTTTCAACAGCGTAAGTGCTGACAATCGTCACATTCGTATGCGACTTCCGCATCTGTGAGTGGCTTGGAACGTGATGCGCGAGGTGTCCCTGCAACGAGTAGCTAGCATTCGGCTGTGGAACTTGTCCGATCCTGCGCGAGCCTTGGCGAGGTCTGCCGACAAACCATTGCCTGCTTCAAGTACTCCTACGAGTATTTGGGAAACACTCCACGCTTGGCTGGGGGCCTGTGCAACATCCGTGCCGAGCAGGTGTTTTGTGAAAGTCTGTGCGGTCCTGAATCAGGTTGTCACGCCCTTGACCGACAAGTGCTACATGACCTTGACAGGACAGTGGTAGTGACGGTTGTAGAACTACGCCTGCAGCTTGCTGCTTTCCTGGCAATTGCTTGAGCCGAAGGCGCAATGCACCTGAATTATGGTGGCGCACCCGCTGGTCCAGCCGGCACAGGACTGACTGGAAGGCCAGCTACCCTTTGCACAGAGCATGGAGCTTTCTCCTTGGAAGGAAAGACAGAGACCACAAAAGACTTGGGCAAAGCCCTGGCTGTGCCGGTCGTGGTGTTCAACTGTGCCTCAGATGCCGTTATCAGACTTTCACAGGAATCTTGTTTAGAGCCCGGGGCACTGAGCCAGACGTGAGCTGCGGCCCAGCTGAGGTTCCGATGGCCTCGACTACAAAATCATGGGCCGCTTCTTTTCAGGTCTTGCCCAGGCAGGAGCATGGGCCTGCTTCGACGAGCAGCTCCGGCATGTGTTTCAGAAACATGGTCCTTCCAAGGATTTTCGGCGTTTGTGTGGAGTCCTGATTCCAGCCAGGTTCAATCGCATCCAGGTCGAAGTCCTCAGCGTGATTGCGCAACAGATGCTGACAGTGACACAGGCTGGCCTCGTCCGAACTGTCATACATCTTATTGTGCCTCGTACTTTCGGGCACAAGAAGCCTGGCTTGCTGGAGGCTATCCGGCAGCGAAAAGAAGTTTTCGAGTTTCTTGGCAACGAGATCCCTTTGAATCGACGCTTCGGGGACCGTGCCTGAGCAATGGGCTGGATGTCTGGAAGGACTGTTTTCAGATCTGGCATGTTGGCTATGCCCAGGTCTACATCACCATGAACCCTGGATATGCCGGACGAGCTGAGCTTCCGGACAACCTCAAAGCGCTATTCCGCCCAGTCGCTGCGGCCTCGGTCAGAAGGAGATCGGGTTTTTTTCAATCAGGGCCGGGGCTGGCCCTAGTATTGCATGTGCGATTTCGTCACGCTCGCGGCTAGATTCTCGCGACACTTGGGTGAAGCTCAACTTTGACATTGTCAAGCCAGGCCATGATGGTGCCAGACTACGGGCTGATTGCCCCTCGCTCGCATTTCCCCTCTCCTTCCGGCTTCTGTCGCTCATTTCTCTTGGTGTCCCTCCGCAGGCAGAGATCATTCTGTATTCAGAGGGTTTCAATGCGGCCAAGATGCTTGCAAGTGGCCCAGCCGCTCTCTGCTGCAGTTCCGAACCCGCTAGCTGCTGGCCTCTATCAGGCTCGGAAGATGGTGAACCTGTATCGGCTTTCCTCTGAGCAGCTTTCGAAACAGGATCACTATGACCGGCACTCAGACTATGTTTGAGCCGTCGGAGTTGACTCTGTAACTTGGTTATCTGCAAAGTTTTTCCTGAAGACGATTGAAGCTGTGCACCAGCCAGAAATCCTCCATTTCCTTTATATCCCGGCAAGCTCCAAAGCATCATCTCACCTCGCGTCACTGTCTCTGCGCGTTGGGTTTCCTTTCTTTTTTGTTTTTTTCCTCCTGGTGTTTTATCGCAAAGGCATCGGACCGCGTCTGACGACACCACAAGCACGGCTCAAGCTAAGCGTCCCTGAACATCTGAACCTGGACAAGCAGAGCAGAGCCTGTCGTTATCGACCAAGTTTGCAGAGGCTCGAAAATTGAAAAGCCGTGAGTACAAGGCGAGCTCGCAGAGTGAAGCAGCCTGCTCGCCTCTCGAGACGACACCCTAAGGCACACGCGGCATCTGAGCAGCACGTGCTGGGTTGGCATGGGTTCGGCAACTCTGGATCGCGACTGGTTGCAGCAACCCAAAGCGACGACGCATATCGGGCCAGGCCTCAGCATCGCATCATTTTCGTCGCCTCGCAGAGTTGAATCGGGCATTTCGCAACAACTGATAGCACACGTGTTCGGATGTACAGAAGCAGGGTGCCACTCCATTCAGAAAGTGAAAACTGCCTACTCTGTTGTTCCTGGTCCTATATGCCGACGTCAGCCTGAAGCGACAAACAGCGGTCAAACATGAGCAAAGGACGGCCCAACCGCGCAGCTCGTTTCATCACTACCCTCGCTTCGCATGACGTCTTAGCAGCTCCGACCTGACCGAGAACCCCAGATCATACACTTTGTAGCTGCGAACGAAACGCCCTGAAGCGAATATGGCAAATGCCGCCTTGCCGAGGATTTTGGCATGCGAGCCGTCTCTCTGGCTGCTTCAAAGTTCCACAAGTGCAGTTGCAGAGGGGTTTGAGAACTCTGCCAGGTGAAGTCAGTTCTGGTAATGGCTGGACACCTGAAGCGCTTTCTTCTCAGTTTTTTTTGCAGACTGTCTATCTTGCGATGAGCCTGCTTCTGCATTCCAGGTCAGAACCCAGATTTGGAAGAGAATGTGACGCTCATCCGCGCCCTTCGTGATTCCAACGCACCCAAGCAAAATCCTCAGTTGCGGCTTCGTTCGATATTGCTTTGCAGCAGCTGTTGTCGACAGTTTCCTCAACTCCCCCCTCTTGTGACAAGTCGCAAGAAAAAGGGAGGAGATCTACATCCGCACTCGTTTCGAAACCTCCCTCTGAGCTCACATATGCGTCTTGCGGGTGCCTTGCCATGCCCAGGTTCCTGTCTTTCGATCTTCCGCTTTTCAGTGGCATCATCTCAGACTTGTACCCTGATGTTTTGGCCTCGGCTGTTTTACAAGGACGGACCTGATGCGCAAGCTCATCCCGACAAGGTCGTCATTCCAGACGTGGACTATGGAAAGTTGAAGACGGAAATCGAAAACCAGTTGCGCTTGATGAACTTGCAGGTCCGTTGACTTGTGGATTCGAGCTCCTTGCCGTCGCATTCGCTTGTGGCTTCTTCATTGGTTGCATGTGTCCAGGTAGTTCCGTCCTTCCTGACCAAGATCACGCAGCTCCTTGAGACACAGCTTGTGAGGCGCATGTTCTTTTGATTGACCCTACCGCGTGGTGATGCTTCTGTCAGCCAGGCATGGCGTCATGTTGGTTGGCTTGACGATGACGGGGAAGTCCACGAACTCCAACATCCTGGCAAAGACTCTGACGCAGCTGAAGAAGGCGCAGCGGTGGTCCGTGAAGGGAGTCGAGATGAAGAGCGGGCTTTCTTGCGGGTTCTATGTAGCGCTGTGAGAGAGGACGGTTCCACGGATCCGGCCCACCAGCTCACCAAGATCTTCTTCTTGAATCCCAAGAGCCCGGCTCTCGGAGTCAGAGCCATCGGAGCCCCAGAGACGAACGCAGAACACCCTGGGGCCGTGTGAGAGGTATCACCATCGAGGAGCTCTACGGGTCCTTCAATGAAAACACCGGTGAGTGGAAGGCCGCTCTGGAACCAGCCGAAGCGCAGAGCATCGTAGAGCATCTGCGTGTTCTTGCCATGCTTCCGCCGGAGAGGACGGCCTGGTGGCGATCCTGGTCCGCGAAGCAGTCAGTGACACATCAGACAACAAGTGCGATACTTACAAGTGCTGCCAAGTGGAAGCACCGACCGTTGTGTTGGTGGAGCCAACATGGTATGCTTCTGTGCAGGAAATGGGTGAATTTCGATGGCCCAGTTGATGCGATCTGGATCGAGAACATGAACACAGTGCTGGATGACAACAAGAGCCTCGTTTGCAAACGGAGAGCGAGTGAGAGGTTGGATGCTTGTGTGATCTTGGAACTGAGGATGTTGTGCCTGTCCAATGGAGAGCGGATCAAACTCCCCCCAAGCATGACCGTGATGTTCGAGGCCAGTGTACAAGTAAGTGCGACAGTTTGGGAATGTAAGCAAATTTGAAAACACATTCTGAAGACTGGAACGCGGTGAATCACGAGATCACAGCAGCAGTTCACCATTCAGAGGTTCTGTTTCCAATCGCGGAACGAGGGCGTGCGTACTTCCTTTCTTCCTCCACGTTTCGGGGCACGGGCAGCATGTGCAAAGTGTGCGGTGCATGTCATGCATGTCATGCGATGGAGTGCACGTAGTCTTTGCAATGCCAGTCATGCATGTCTTACGTGACATCATGCGACACTGAACTGGCCTGTTTAACATCTGTGGTTCAGGTACTGACTGAGCATAGTGTAGTGTATAGTATACAAAGTCTAATGGAGAGGTCTTTTGGTGTGCACCAGGGAAATGTAGTATGTAATGTAGCGTGTGTATGTACTGTTACGTATGACATGCATGGTGTACCACTCTATGCAAGAGTTACGGTCTTACAAGGCACGCAGTGCAGAGAATGGGCATTGGCAGGGAGTGGCAGATTAGCAAACCTCCGCTGGTTGACTTGCAGGTGAACGATTTGGCAGTAGCATCGCCCGCCACGGTGAGTAACAAGCTCAGCTGTTCTTCAAGCATCGCAGGTTCGTGCATGCCATGCAGGAGAGAACCGGGTGTCGCTTTTGACGATTTTTGCGTTTTTAAGGCCGATGTGGCATGGTTTACCTCGAGCCGGTTCACTTGGGTCACTGGCTGAGCTTAATGGGTCAGGGTTTCAGCCCAAGGGCAGATCGACGATGTGTATTTTCCAAATGTTTGAGGCTGGAAGCCGCTCATCCAGACATGGGTGGAAAAGCGGGTACCCCAGCAAGGGCTTGCGTGTCGATGCTGGGCTCACTCCGAAGCGGTATCTGTGCCATAGAAGCGATGTGTTCCTGATACCCCTTATGATAGTCACCATGATTGATTGCAACACGCTTCTTCAGAGCTGGGAGCGGGTGATTAGTGAAGAAGGTAGTGTCGAGCATGCTGCTCTGACGGTTTACGGTTTAGGGCTTAACCCCAAACAACAAACCTTAAACACATCAGCTATCAGGTGTAGAAGGAGGGAGCCGAGGTGCATCAAGCATAACGATGGGTAAAATCTTGGAAACGAAATGATGTTTCTGTGGTAGTTCTTCCGAAATCAGCGATACATGTCGAAAAACATTCGTAAATGATATACAGTAATCAATATCAACATAATATGGAGATGAATATGGTAGATGAGGTGAGGAAGACTTAAGTTCTATTCGTTTTTTTTGGGTGATAGAGGTTCAGATGGTTTAGGGTTTTAGGGTTGAACCCGGTCCCGTTTTGGGAGCTTCTTCTGGAGAAAGGTAGCATGTTATGTTGCAGAGCCATGCTTCGTTATCGCTGTAGCTGTTGTTGCATCACCGTTAGCGAGGGTGGCTTATCAAATGGGGCAGAACGCTGGGCTTTTCGTGATTCGCGTTGCTCTAGCAATCAGCTATTGTCTCGCACACTTGTTGTGTTGTGATCTGTTGCGTTTGGCTTCGTCTCTCAGCCGCTGTCCGTGTTTTGCCTGCCCACTGAGCTTGATGTTGGCTGTTTTCTCGCTACAGACTAACGTCGTCGCTTCGAAGTCTTGCTTCCGTTGCGTAGTTACATCTTAGAATGTCTCAAATAATTCTTCGACATCCGTTTCATGGTTTTTTCTTGTTGGCCTCTGCCTTTTGCTTTGAGGCCCGAGAACGTGGAGGGGCTGCAACTGCCATACCGAGACACAGACAAGCTCTGTAAAGAGCCACTGAAGCCCAGGCCAACTCAGGCAGCACATGCCAGGCAACCTCCGACAAATCGCATCCCAAATTGGTCGACCAGGAGCCTTCCAGCCCTTGAGAAACTAGGACCCGGTGAATGGACGACGGTCTGGTCGAGTCTGAGCAGTTGAGGCTCGTCATCCGTTCGTTGGTGGATGGTTCATCCCCTCACAGCCCCCGTTAGGTTTGTGATCAGGTGGCCGCATGGCACATGCGGGTTTGGTGGTTTTGTGATCGGCTGAGGTTCCAGGTGAAGTTCCCGGAGTTCGCCAAGGACATCGGGAAATGGGCAACATCGGTCTGCGAAGAGGCCATGTCACACGACGTTGTATGGACTCCACGTCTGTGTTGGGTGTTTCACACCTTTGTCCGCGAGCTTGGATGTATACTGTGTCCACCTGGATGCAGGCCCTCCCGTACATTCGGGAAGAGTGCCAGGAAGCTCCTGGAATACCGAGCATGGATGCAAACCTGGTGCAGGACGGTCATCTGTCGAGCTTCGCAATGATGCCTTTGAGCCAATTCTGTGCAGGGTTACCTGAGAATGCTAACTGCATTCATCTCGGAGCCCCATCAGCTCGTGCCAGAAGGTCTGCAGCCCAGTGTTCCCCCGCCTCTGACTCTGTCACAGTTTCGATTCAAGCCTCCCGGACATGTCCACGTGTCATGACGTTGCGATTCCTCTGTAAGGGCAAGGCGATGCAAGGTCCGGGTGTGGCCTTTACCGCAGGTTGGTAGCTCAGCCCTCAAAAGGGGCGCTGGAAACGGGGAAAAGACAGAGGTGATATGGCCTGAGGCGGCTCAAAACAAATCCCCATGCAAGAGACGTAAAGACGTCTTCTCTGTCCCAGCGCCCGGCTGAAGGCTGCCCGGGCAGCCCGAACGCGTAGTGCCCACACAGACAGAAGGGATCTCCGACCCATCCGTCAAGTGAGTGCCTCGCTGCGTGTTGGGTGGACATGGCTTGCGCATCAAAGAAAACCCTCATGGAGTCCTGCGGGAGAGAGAACCCTCTCTGAATTCAACATGTTATGCGCAAGCAAGTTGTTTAACAAAGTCCTCATGCGGCCGCGTGTCTTCTGCCAGAAGCCGAAGCAAGAAAGCCAGCTTGCTGCCCACCATCACTTCGTGACAGCGTGCAGTTCCGGCTGAACACTTGCAATCGCGAGCCGTGAAGCCGGCATAACCTTCCACAGATTCAGACGTGGGTGCAGTGCTAGCTCAAAGGCTTTCCGCATTTGCGCGATCCTCGCAAGAACTTGCCCCCTAAAGCAAGCCACGATTCCAGCTGCGGCCAGCACCAATCTGTCTCCCAGGACTTAGGCAGGACTTCAACGGTGTGGTTCTCCAAACGGTTGCCTCCCTGACGACCTAGCTGGGCATGCTTCAACTCTTGCTGTAGCATCATGTCAGTCGTCGTGCTGTCTTTTGTGCCGTTTCCAGTCTGTTGTAGCCCGCCGGTATGAGGTGACGGAGCCAAGCCGCTGAAGGCTGACGAGGATGCGAAGAAGCTGGTTCGAATCTACACGGTGCAGCCGGCATCGCTTTGTTGCCTTTTCCAGCCGCGGTGCCCGTGTCTCAGCCAGGCTATGTCCGCTATCTGGTCTCTTGGAGCGAACCTGCACGAAAACTCGCACCGGGCTGAGACGTGGCAAGAGCGAAGCCCACCATGCACGGTAGTGGCTTCAATCGCTTCAAGCAAAGAAATGTTGCCCAGCGGGCATTGTTGCAATGTGCAGCTTGCTGCATGTTCTGCTCGTGGACGTTCCTCTCGCACGGAAAGCGGTTTTGCACAGCTGGGTCGGCAACAAGTATGTATGTTAGACTGGAAGCTGGCGACATTCCACACATTCTCCCCGAAACACCGGCATGAATCAAATCCTCTATGAGGTGGTTGTTTTCGCACTTCCTTCACGGTCCTTCTCAAAGCATAGCTCTCCGAAATGTCTACACAGCATCAGCTAGGCCAGCAATATGACGTGAGTGTTGCAGGCGATCCAAGTTTGTCGCCCGGATTCGTCCGCGGCTTCAGCTGTTCTGTCCAGAGGCCTGGTACATTTCCCGATGTCCTGTCCAAAGATATGAGCCATGTGCAACTGCCAGGTTCCGGACAGTGGTGATCTCTACATGACACATCCTCAGAGTGTGTCCTTTCAACTCTTACGTGGACAGGCATCAGGCCCATGTTTGCCTAGTCCAAGTTAGATCCAAAAGGTTGGCCGTCAACGACGATGATGGAAAAATCCATCCGCTCGCCGACATCGTCCCAACATTCAATTTCAATCCGCAGGAGCCGGGGACTCAACTTCCGTCCCCTTCCTATGCCAAGGGCATAGGAGCATCAGCTCAGGCCTTTCTTCAACATTTTGGTCAATACTCCCGAGACCGTTGGGCAACGAATGCTGGCCGGGACCCATGACATTCATTAGTGTCAGGCAGTAGGAGCTATCTGGATGTACCATGTGGCACTGGAGAAGAGCGTTGTGCTTGAGAGATCGGAAATCATACTAATTAAGGTTGAAAACTTGATGGCGGCAAACTTCAACGTGCTTTTCTCCGGAGAGACAGGCTTCAAGCTTTGACACGGCTGTTCCATTTAGACAATGTGCAGCGGACATGCCAGGTGTTGGCAAGTCGGTTGTCATCCAGCAGTTCCTGAACACGGCGAGACGCTGTGCGTGTATCTGCGAGTTCCTTTTCAGAGCTTACATGCCACATATGCAGGCGGGCGAGCTCTTTGCAACCGCAAGTGCCAACTTCAGCGCCCAAACGAGCACTGCCAACGTCGGTGTCTTAAGATGATGGACAGAGCAAAATGAAGCGGAAGTGTTGTTGGCCAAGCCGAGGTTGTGGACCAATTTGAGAACCGGCTTGAGCGGAAACGCAAGACGCTGCTGGGCGCTCCTCCAGGCACCACGATGTGCGTTCCTCAGCATTGTGGACTGGATGCCATTGCTGCTGTGCAGCTCGTTCAGCTCTTTGATGTCGCTGTAGGATCTTTTTCGTGGATGATGTCAACATGCCCATGCTTGAGCCAGTTGCTCAGCACCGCCAACCTTGAGCTGTGGCTCATAGTTCTGCATGCCAGGTTTTATGGTGCCCAGCCTCCAATTGAGCTACTGCGACAGGCCTCCAGTGCCTGTTAAAGCAGAAGCCTGAAAGTGAGAGAATGACTCTAAAGTCTCTAAAGCTGGGAGGTGATTGACTACGGAGGCTTTTACGACAAGAAGAAGCTATTCTGGCCAGGGACCATGCCCGACTTGAGCAGCCCATGGTATCATCCTTGAGCTCTGAGGAAACAGGTCGCTGACACTCAATTTATCTGCGCTTGCGGCCCACCTGGTGGAGGTCGTATGGCCGTGACGCCCAGGCAGGGAAAATGCACACCGATGGAAGGCTGGAAGCGACAGTGCATGGCTGCATGGCCTTCTGTAGGCTGTTCCGCCACTTCAACATGATCTGGATCCCGGTACACCGCTCAACACAAGCCGACCTGAGTAGTATTGTGATGCAATGTACACCACACATCGTGCGTAGCGGCGCCTGGCATGTGGGGGGATGCCTGAAGCTTGAAAAATCTTCTCCCGTCGAAGCTCAACTCATAAACAGATATATGTATATGTATATATATATATATATATGGACACATTTATTTATATGATATATATATAATATAATATAATATAATATAATATAATATAATATAATATAATATAATATAATATAATATAATATAATATAATATAATATAATATAATATAATATAATATAATATAATATAATATACATACA